CTGTCAAAACTCCCAACCATTAGCTTGTCTTCATCTGTGTCTGATTATGAATCACTGTCTTCATATATTGCCTCGTCCTCAGTTCCACCTATCGCATTTGAAATCTACAACCACTGTATAAGATGCACCCAGTTTTTAGAACCCAAATTTTTCAAAAAAGGGTACATCTTATAAATGGGGAAATACGGTACATTCCACTGTATGAATATACTAAAACTTATTTATCCATTCTACTGTTAACGGACATTTGGGTTGTCTAATTTTGAACCACTGAACCTTCTTGTTCATGCCTTTTCGTGAACATGTTTTCATTTTTTTTGCATAAACACGTAGGAGTGACATTGCTAGGTTACAGCAGAGGATATGTTAACTTTGTAAGAAGCTAACAGTTTTCTCAAGTGGTCACACCATCTTACAATCCCATGAGTTCCAGGTGCTCTGCATCCCCACCAACACTTGATGAGGTTAATGCTTATTTCAGTTGTTCTAATGCAGGGGTCCGCAAACTTTTGAGACAGAAGAGCCGCCAGAGGTCGGCAAACTGCGGCTCGCAAGTCACATGTGGCTCTTTGAGTATGTACATGTGGCTCTGAAGTAAAATTGAAAATGAAAATAAAACTATCATAGTTTCATTTATAATATTACTTTAAATTTTCCTTATGTAAAAATATATTTATGGCTCTCGAATAATTTTTAAATTGTTGTGAGGGACAGGATTGGCTCTTCCAGGGGTTGGCAAACTTTTGAGACAGAACGTACCCAAAGAGCCACATGTGGCTCACGAGCCTCAGTTTGCCAACCCCCGTTCTAATGTATGTGTTTTAATTTATATCTCTGTGATGTTAAGCATCTTTCCACCATGTGCTTATTGTTCATTTTTATAACTTCTTTTGCCTAATTAAGTCTTTTGTTCATTTTTAAAATGGATTGTTGACTTTTTAGTTGATTTGTTAAGCATTTTATTCTGGGTTTGTCCTTTGTCAGATATATGTGTTGTGAATATCTTTTTCTCAGTCTGTGGGAAAAAAATACGAATTTTCTTAAAGATTTTTAGGTTTTGATTTTTACTTTTATGGGGTGGTAGGCAGAAAAAATGGTCCTCCCCTCAAAAAAAGTATCCATGTCATAGTCCCCGTAACCTGAGAATATCTTACATCACAGGCAAAAGGAGTGTATAGGCGTGATTGAGCTCATGGAATCCTGACATGGGGAAATTTCTGGATTATCTGGGTGGTCATAGTCTAATCATATGAGCTCTTAAAAGTAGAAGAGGAAGCTAGAAGTATAAGTCAGAAAAATGTGACAATGAAAAAAGAGGTGAGATTCAAACCATGAAAGGTACTCGACCTGCCATTGCTGGCTCTGAAGATCGAGGAATGGGTCCACAAGGCAAGAAATGGGAGTGGCCTTTATAAGCTGAGAACCGGCCTCAACAAGCAGTTGGCAAAGAAATGGGGACCACAATTCTAAAACCACAAGGAACTGAAATTTGCCAACAATCTGAATGAGCAAGGAAACAGATTCTCCCCTAGTGCCCCAGAAAGGAATGCAACTCTGTTGATACTTATTTTGGTATTTTAAGACTATGCAGAGACCCATTGGAGACTCTATGCTGAGCCTATTGGATTTTTTACCTAAGGGAACTGTAAGATAATAAATACGTGTTGTTTTCAAGTGCTAAATGTGTGGTAATTTGTTACGGCAGCAATAGCAAACTAAATCACAGAGTTAGTGCTTTTTGTGTCCTGTCCAAGGAATCTTTGCCTACCCTGAGGTTGTGAGTTATCTTTATTTTCTTCTAGAAGCTTTAAGGTTTTATTAAAGTTCTCTGCTATTTCTTCTACTATGTCTGCCTCAACAGAAATCAGGGATTTGACTGTTCCACTTTATCTCCCTCACTTTAAGCTATGTCCTTAAGTGACCCACAGTCTGGACTCTCTCTGCTTGCCCTTTCATCAGCTGTGGGTTCTTAACACCCAAGTAAGGCTGGAATAATTGGGTGTTTCAAGCACAAGTGATGGCAGATAGACTGAGCAATAACAAGTGGCCACAGGCTGGGAAGATTAATATCAGTTTAACATCTGATGGGCCAACTGCCACCTTCAGAAAACACCTTCCTATAAGTGACATTCTCTCCTGGCCTTGTCCCCAATCCAGCCTACCTAAATCTCACCTAATGTTTAATTCCTAGCTCAAAGTTCGACAGCTTCCAGGAAGCTCTCTCAGCAGGCTACAGTCACATCTCTTTCATTTATTGCTTATATCACTCCTTTGGCATATTTCCATAGAAACCATTCATCTCTGATATGTATGCCTTGTCTCTCCAACCAGATCATCTGTAATCCCAGCTGAGTAAATGCTGTTAAGGTAAAACTGGTACAACGTATTTCAAGTGTGTGTCATTTGACTCAGCAATTCTATATCCAAGAATTTATCCTAAGGAAATAATCAGCAAAATATATGAAAGATCTACGTTCAAGTATGTTCAATGTGGTGGTGTTCACACTGGCAAACTGGAAAGAGCCTGAATATCCACCAGTAGGAGACTGGGTAAAACCACTATCGCACAGCCATACAATAGGTTCTGAGTGGGCACTCAACATGGTAAGTCAGATCCCATGTTTATTAAAATAAAAAGATGACCGTGGTATTTTGCTACATGAAAAAACCATCTTAAGTACACTAGGAGGACATTTTTGTAAATAATTCCACCACATCCACAAACAAAAATCATTAAAAATTTCAATATAGCACTGTGTGGGTGTAAAAAAATGTCTGGAAGCATATATACCAAAACGCCAACTGTGATTCTCTACCTCACAGGGTTTTCTTTCCCGCTAACACTTTCTGTAATCAAAATTTTAAAATAAGCACTTTTTAATTTTAATCTTTCATTTTTAGTTTAAGATAAAATATTTGACCATTCGATCATCTGGCTCCTGCTACTCACCTTTTAAAAAAAAAACTGTGGTAAAATTCATTTCACGTAACGTTCATCCTCGCCTTTTTAAGCTGTTTCTTCCTCCATGTGTCTAATTAATATGACCATATTACTCTTGATTTCTCACATTCAGAAACATCCTGATTTCTATTATATGGGTGAAGATTATGTCAACTCTCATCCTCCCCTTATGCTCAATCAGTTTAGCTCAATTTTTTTTCTTGTTAAATCCATATTCTGCACTATTCGTTATGAGCCACGTGGGACTTCTTTCACTTCTCTCCTGTCTTGAACCCAGTTTCCTGGACTCCTGTCTTCCTTTTTCTCAATTCATTCCCTCTTTTGGGAAAAGCATATCCTCCACTGACTTCCAAAGAAAGGATGTGGAGGAAGTTAAAATTTAGCTGAAGCAGGTTTCCTTCCCCCTCACAACTGACTAACAGTCTGGCTGAGTAGAACACTCTAGGTTGGAAACATTTTCTACCCATATTAAAGGTGTTGCCCCGCTGCCTTCAAGTTTCCAGTGTCACTGAGAATCTCCACGCTAGTTTTAGCCCCAGTCCTTTGATATGACCTTTTCTATTTATTCCTCTCTGGAAGTTTTTAGAATCTTCATTTTATTCCGTTCTCTGAAATTTCACTATGATGTGCCTTGTGATGGGTCTTTTTCAATATGCTGGGCCTGCTAAGCATTTTTTAACCTAGAAGCGTGTTCTTCAGTCCCGAGAGACCCCTTGTATTATTCCTTGGTAATTTCCTCCCTCACGATCTTTTCTATTTTCTAAGTGTTAGACCTCCCAAATTTGCTCTACAATTTTCCATTTCCATTTCTCTCCTATCTTCTCTTTTGCTTTTAAAATTTCACTTTCTGGGATAATTCTTTGAATATCTTCCAACCTTTATTGACTTTTTAAAGACTTTGTATTCTATTTTAAAGTTCAAAGATTATCTATGTTCTTCAACTGTTCTTTTATTCTTCAGAGTATCCTGCTCTTGTTTGATGGATACACCATCTCCTCTTGAGGACATAATTATAATGTATATACACTAAATATATAAATATATAATTTTATATATACATAATATTCATTAAATATATATGTACACATATGACTTACATAAAATCTGCATGTCCAACAGCAGGAGAATAAACTAACTATACTTCATGCACACAATGGATGACCTCTCAGCAAGGAATGAATTGAGCTACTGACCTACACAAGCACATGGATAGGTCTCAGAAGCATTATGTAGATGAAAGAAGCCATACCCAGAAGGCTGTGCATTGTACGATTCCATTTATGAGAGACTCGGGAGGCCTAATGTGTAGTGATAGGAAACAGGTCAGTGGCTATCTGGGAGTGAGGTGAGAACTGACTGGAAAGGACACAGGGAACCCTTTGGGGTGACAGAAAGGTTCTGTACCCAGACAGTGGTGGTGGTTGTACAGATGTGTAGGGTTATCAAGATTCATTGAATGCTCCACTGGAAATGGGCACATTTTACATATAAATTACACCTCAATGTTGATTTCAAACAAAATGAAAGAATAGTCATAGATCACTAGACCTTTGTGGAAGGCCCACACATGAAAGAAAAAATACAACTTAGAAGAAACAGAGACATGAACAAAGTAGAAGAAAACATCAAGGAAATCACACAATGTACAGAGTTTGTGTTTCTGTTTCTTATTCTTCCTGATATTTGGGGATGATTTAAAATAAGGGGGTGGAGACAGGCTCACTCTCTGCTCTGAAACTAGAACTCCTTAGGTTGGTATTATAATTTGCAAAGAACGATAAACTTGTAGGTGGGCGGGCAGGTGTGTGTCTCCTGTAACCTCCCATCCCCAGTGCACAGCACTCACTACCCACTCGGACCAGCCCTCAGGCCAGGGCTGGGGAAACCTGGAACTTACTTAGGAGCATTTAATCTGAAATGGGGACATTTTCCAAGTCTAACATTAATTTGATAATAATGCACATGTTTTTATGGATTTAGCAATTTGTCAAAGTCCTTCTGCTTTGTTTTAACTGCCATGAGTTTCTTTGTCTCTCAAACGGTAATACCCCATGTAGCACATGAGGAAACCTGTCCAGCAAGGTCCAGGGCAGGCTCAAGGCTGCACAGTTAGTTTGTGGCACAGTTTGGACTACACTGCAGGTTATCTGACTCCCCAGGAGGTGCTTCTTTTATGTCACACCATCTCCTGGACATCGGTGCCAAGCCACCGACCAATGCTGACCAGCACCCAGGGGATGAGTGAAGGGGAGAGGACCACCAGAGAGCGTGGGCTCCGGAACAGAAGCATCGCAGCTTACCCCACCTTGCTCTCTGACCTCCTGACCCCCGTAATGTCATACTTCCTGATCCTGAAGCTGGCACACTCTATTAATTTTCACTCTACTGTGTCTCTCTGATGCTCCCTGCAAGGGACAGCACACAGATGTCATCACCTCTGTTCATGGAGTTCAACCTCACAGAGCCTCATGGCCAGGGGCTAACATTACTGACCCTAAATCCGGTTTTCTTGACCCTCCCGGACCGTCCCAGAGGGCAGGAGGGGGGAGGAGAGGCCATCTCCACAGTTCTGATGGCCTAGCCACTGGCAGCCCTGCAGGCATGCAGCCCCCAGGCTCCCCCCACCCACAGGAGTCCTCACCAGCCTCTGGCTTCACCTTCTCAGACACACTTCAGCTGCAGTGGCGGCAGCAGCAAGCTCTCTGAGACAAATTCGGGCCAGTGGTCATGTTTTTGGTTTTGAGCAACATATATTTTTAAACAAAAATTAAATAAATAAATAAAACAAATAAATAAATAAAAAGACACCTACCTAAGCTGAATTCTAAAATGGGTTCATCTGGATCTTGCAGATTTCCTGATAAAAAAGAAATACCAGAAAAGTCACTCTTAGTAAAGGCTTCCCTGTGTTTAGATTTTATGGAAATAGAAAGCAAAAACCTGACACAGTTGTAGTCATTTCACATGTATGCAAATCAAACCATCACACTATACACCTTAAACTTTTACAGGGACGTATGTCAGTTATTTCTCAATAAAACCAGGAGGAGGGGAAACCCAACACTATTTTTCCCTCCAAAACTGTTATACGAGATGATTTCTTCGTTTTCTAAACATTTTGTTTTGAGGTTCCCAAGAAGTCTCAGACCCCAGGACCGAATACCCTCCCTCCTCCGTAGGTCTGCATACCCACAACAGGCAGGGTTTTTACTGTGGCCTGGGCACTGGCCAGGCAGGCCCTGTGGACATTTGCACGTTATCCACTGGCCAATCAGCCTTGGAGGTGTCCACCCAACCTGGAAACCTGACGGCAGGTGGGTTCCGGGGGAGGCAGCTTCCGGGAGGAGTGCTGACTCGCCCAACTCCCTATTCCAACTCACACCAGAGCACCCTCAGGCCAGGGACAGTCACCAGAGGCTCATCCTGGCTGTCTGCCGGGTGCTCCAGGAGGCACGTTTGGCCCTCCTAACACTGCCCCAGCATGGGACACACCAGGAGCCCGGCGCAGGCCTCACCTGCCAGAGAGAGGCCAAGCATGTCAGCTGCCACATCAATGGTGGAAGCCCGCTGCATCGCACGGGCCCTGGCGCTGTGGCGAGGGCTGTGCTCTCTTGCTGTCATGATGTCATTGGTGATGATGTGCTTCCTGTTCCTGGGTTAGACCACGCCTGACTCTCCGGGAAGCGCTGTCACCTAGCCCTGGTCCCCTAAAGTAGCAGCAGTCCTGAGAAACAGGAACAAACACTAGTAAGAAGCACAGGATGGAGACCCAGAGACACTGATCTCATGGACAGTACATGACCTGACATAGGCAGAGGCCAAGAAGCCAGGGTCCCAGCAGGTGAGGAGTGGGGTGGAGAGTCTGGTGGTTCAGGTCCCCTAGGTCACCTCTTCCTCTGAAGTCCCCAGCACACCCTCACACACAGCAATGTGGCATACCTGGGATCCCGTACAGAAACCATGTTCTCTCCAACAAGGACATGACACATGAAGTGGTAGTTTTCAAGTAACCATAAAACACGGCTTCTGAGAGTTCCCTGTTTGCTTTATTATGATTCTCCATTGGTGAGTCTCATAGAACCTCACAGAATCGTAAACCAATTCACTACAACCAGTTAGATGCATGAAGGGGTTTGCCTCCCACTGGCTATACAGCATGGCGGGGCAAAGGCGCCTGTCTCCAACCTTGCTCTCTGTCTTCCCAGAACTAAAGAGACTTCACATGTGTCTCGGCCTGGGGCTTTCTTTCACCACAAAACATGTACGTGACAATCCCCACCTCACAAGTGGATAGCGCTATGTGGTGGACATGCACCTCTGTGCAGAGGCCCCCTGCTGGCTGGATCACACAACACAGAGCTTGCATTCTGCTCTGAGAAGTGGGCTCAGCAGCAAAAAGTATATCACATGTGTCCAGCCCTATATGCTACAATTCCTGCTGACTCTGGAAGGAACCACACGTTAGAAGTATAGATAATCAGACTGAGCAATAAGGCTGGTTGAAAAGAGCCCTTGCCAAGGCCTCTATATATTCAGGCACCCCATCTTCTCAAAGTGTGTCAACACCTGGATACCTGAAGGGCCCATGTTCCCGCTCCTGAGTGAATTCACACGGCAACTTACTGAACAAGTTTGTTCCTGGAGCAGTAGAGACACGTGGCATTTCTTCATAGAGGCACATCCAAATCCATCATCTAAAAAATAGAAAGTTATAAACTTAACAAGCTGGTCAACATGCAGAAAGTTCCCAAGAACACATGATTATAACGCGTATGTTATAACTTCAGCGCCTAGAAATACGGAGAGGCCGAAAGCTACTCCATTTTCCTGTGAGCTCCACACACCGATCTAACCTTTGGGCTCAAAAACAAAGGTTTTGCTCAAAGCCCAAAAGAATGAGAAACAGTAAGTACACATTCCTGTCCCTATCCAGGGGTGATGCCGGGGAATCTGGGCCAGCCCTGAAGAGCCAGCTGGGCAGCCGGGGTGTAGTTTAGGGGAAATGAAGAGGTAAAAATCTGAGCCCCACTCTCCCTGGGCCCCTCTGAGGCTCTGCTGTTTGGTATCTAAGACAAGGATAGTTGTCCCATCGCACAGGGCTGCAGTGAGAACCAAACGTGCCTTAACAGCACAGGGCTCTGCAGACTCCGCTGGGCTTCCGCACGGCCCCTGCGGTCTGGCCCGTGGGCGCATTGCTGTGGAGCAGGATGCTGGAGCTCCAACTCAGCCCCAGCACTGCTGGGGGCCATCAGGACAGACCTCAGGGCCCAGTGCCATCTGAAACTGCCGGGGCCTGGGGTGTAGACGACAGACAGGAAGAACAGTGTGCTTAGCCCTCGGGGAAACTTAGTCCCTTGTAGACTGTGCTCCTACCCCTCACACTGGGGCACCCAGGGACCTTAAGCCTGGGCACCTCAGCAGAGAGGGCGGTGGCCTGGCTGGAGAGTCACAGTAGAAGTCACCAAGGGGAAAACTCACCAGTTTGCCAACAATCAAATAGCATACAAGTAAAAAATGTGCGATAAAAATGGTAAAGACTGGGGGAAAGTACTTGCAGTACTAATATCCGTATTTTACAGTACTGTACAATTTAACCCAAAAAAACTCACTAAAAATCCAAGTGAAAAATGGTATGAATTCATACAAGAGGAACACACACGGTAAACATTTTGAAAAGTAACCAAACTCATTCATAATAATTAAAGCAATGCTAAGCACACCTATATTTACCTAAATTAGTCCTCCAAAAGCAGTTTGTTTGCTCTTCTACCAAGAATATGCTTTATTAGCAGAGCTGGGGGGAAACTCTACAGGGCTCTCCTATATTGCCAGCCACAGAGTGGTACAAGCATTTCAGAAAGCAATCTGACATGATGCATCAAAATCTGTCCACAACAAAATTCTCACAATAATCCAAAAATGCTTATTGTAGCATCACTTATAATGACAAACACTGGAACCAGTCTGAGTGAGTACATTCCGGAACACACTATTATATGGCTGTTAACATGATCGTAATGGAGCAAATAACACACGAAAAGTCCTCTGACCTCATTAGTCATCAGGAAAATGTGAAGCACATCCATGAGTTGCCTCTGCACACCCACTAGATTAGCTAAAATGAAAAGACAGACAGTACCAAGTTTTGGCAAGGATGTGGAATGAGCCAGATGCACTGCTGGAAGAGTAGATGGCACAGCACCCTGGAAAACACAGTGTCTACTCAAGCTACTCATCCACCCTGTGACCTGGAATTGCTACCAGAAACGCATATTATGTTCCCCACCAAAAAAGGTGTGAAGAACATTTAGACTAGTAACATCCATAACAGCCCAAAGCTAGAAACAACCCAAACGTCCATCAACAGTAGAATGGACAAAACACAGATGACTGCTAGAAACAAGGTCAAGGAGAAGAGCCAGGCACACCAGAGCATATCCGGGCAATTCCACTTCTGTGAGGCTCGGGCACAGCCCAATGAGCCTGTGGTGTTAGAGCCGGGACATGGTCTCTCTGAGGGGCAAGAACTGGCTGGGGCGTGAGGAGGCTTGGAGGCTCTGGGAGGGCTCTGCCTCCAATCCAATCTGGGTGCTGCTTCCATGAGTGCATTCACTGTATGAACTCCACTGAGCTGTGAACCGACAATTTTTACACTTCAATAAAAAGATCAATTCTTTAAGTGACTATAACAGAGACAACACAGCATGACAAAATGTTTTATGTGAGTTCTGCATCATGTATTTTTAATGAACTATTCCATCTATGCTCTGGTTACAGCCATTTAAAAAGATGTGACACAGAGGGAAAGAGCCAGCAGGAGGCCACAGCAAGACAGTAGCCATGTTTGGGGGCATAGCCACGGGGAAGTGCTTCCCTTCTTGGCTTTACTGGCATCCCCTTGCGTCACTGAAAGATGAATCAGCCTGAGGAAACAGCTCTTCTCTCCTGAACCATTTCCCAGCTTCTTGGTGAGGTTACAGTCACCCCCGTGCCTTCACTTGGGACAGCTGAGACATGCCACCTAGCAGGGCCACATCTGTACCGACACACATCTTGACAGCCCAACCGGAGGCTCCTGCCCCCCCTTCTCTCCTCCCCTTGCAGGGTCCCTGCTCACTCCCCTGGCCTGGCCCTTCCCCATAAGCGGGTAGTTAATGACAGGATAGGTGGTGTGAGATTCTGGGGATAAAAATGCGTAAAGGGGAACATCTACAGACTAATTTTACACTTGATAGAGTTCACAGATCAGAGAAGCTTTTAGGTCAAAAAGACCTTAGAAGCCACTTTGTGGATACTTGGGGGCATTTAATTAGAACCTGCAATTTAAGTCATCAAGACCCAGAACACGAAGCTAATTTGCACAGCTGAACTCAATTCCCTTATTAGTCACCAATTTAAGGTAATTCACCAAGGATTCCTAATTCCCACAGTCCCCGATTTTCCTCGTAGCCCTGTTTCAAGACTGGAGCTTATTAGAAAAAAAAAAAAAAGCCACACTTAAAAAAGGACAGAGGGTGTGGGGAGCAGTTTAGGGAGCTGAGATGGGGCAGAGGGTGGGGAGTGAGACGAAAGAAGGAAGCACAGCTCATGAAACTGTCTCCTCTTCTTTGTGAGAGACACGTGGCCCCTTCTGCAAAGAGGACACAGGCCATCAAATCCAAAAATGTCCCTTCCATCCGTGTGGGGGCAGGGAGATGCTGGTAGAGGGGCATAAGCAAGGCGGAGAGGGGCCTTCCTAGGACCAGTGAGGGTGGGCAGTGACTGCCAGAGCTTCTCCAGTCCTACCCTCCTCCAAGAACAAGGACCTGCTGGCCAGGAAGGGACTCTGGAGGTCCCCTGGCTCAGTGAGCTCTCGGGGCCACTGCGCTGCATTTGATGAGGACTAGCCTTGTGCAGGTGTGGGATGAACTGCCAGGAACCCAAAGCAAAAAGGCCCACCACTGCGGAAACGGAGGGATGGGCCCTCCGGGCCCTCCCCTGGCGGAAAGGGAGGGGTGGGCGGGCCCTCCCGGTGGGCCCTTCCCGCCCTCCGCAGCCCACCCACCCCGTGGCTGGCACCATGGGAGCTAACAGGCTAACAGCAAGCCTGCTCTGGGCCTGGGCTCTCCCAGCTCAGGCAGCAGAGAGAGAAAGTCGGAGAAAGGCTGAGCCAGTCAGAGCATGCATGAGTCAGCAGCCCAAAGCGGAGGCTACTTCAGGAGTCCGAAAGAGGAAGGGCTTTCTCTGAAAACCCCCAAATCCAGGACAGCCAGGATCCCTGAGCCGTGAGGCATCACACAACTCACGGGCACCCAAACCGCTGTTAGTACCACCCTGAGATACAGGGGGCTGCCTCCCGCAGGAAGCCTGTGCTGCAGACAGGCCCAGCACCTGCAGCCTTTCTTCAAGAGGCACCCCAACGCAGCCAGCCATCTGTCCAATGCAGCCAGCCGTCTGTCTGTCCAATGCCACTTGCTTGTGTGACCACGGATCAGCTGGGACCTGTGTCTTATGAACGCCAGACTTAACTTCTTGCTGCTTCCATCTCCTGGTGCAGAGAGGAGGTTTTCTGGCAGACACCTGCCAGTCACCAGACTGCCAACGTCTGTCTGTGCGATGGCACATACTCACCAGGGTCTGGCGTTTCCCTGGCACCTAACAGGTGACTCTTAGGAAAAGCTGGGGGCTGAGTGCAGAGGGATGCACCCCAGCTGACGTGGAGATGGGAAAAGCACTCCTGGAGACCTCCAGCTCTCTGCTTCCCAGGCTCCTGGGGGCTGAATGGACAATCCAAGGCCCCAGGGCTCTGAGCGGGGTCTTACTCCCACTTCCTGCTCCTAGTGCCTGCACTGCGCTGGAGCAAGGAGAGAGGGGCTAGCAAGGAGCAAAGCTCCAATTAACAATAAAGATTAAAGCGTGAGCTTCTGCAAAGCATCACTCCAGTGCTGCTGGAATTTAAATGCAGGAAACTAACAGGCCCCAGAAACTCAAGAAATGTGCTGCAGTAGGGTACATACTCAGGCCGCTGACACAGACGACTCCACCCAGAGTCCTAACAGCCAGCGCTCAGCAGGAGACAGGCACTCTCTTACCTCCTCCTTCCCACCTCTCCAAGCCCCGTTCTCTGCCGGTGACACAGAACAGGCAGCAGTGGCAATGAGCTCTCCCAGTCTAATGAACTAATCTGCCTCATTCGTTTGATGAATATGGAGACAGGATGTAATGCCTTAACCCAGGTGCAGGGGCACATCCTGGGACTCCTAGGGGAGGAGTGTCCTCTAAACAATGGGCAGGCGGAGTGCCCCTGAGCAGGACAAGCCCAGGCTGTTCCAGCTTTCCCCTCCCCTCCGGTCCCTCGGTTCCCCCATCTTAGTCACAGGCAACCCCATACCAGTGCTCCCACTGCTCCGGCCTGGAAACGAAGTCAGTGCTGGCTCCTGCCTCCTCTTCCTCTCGCACCCACACTCATCTCCCCAGAGGTCCAGACTTAGCCCACTGCAGCAGCCCGGCCCCACTACCCCTCCACAGCCCCCCAGTCTGTCTCCACACAGCACTGGCTCCCTGCTGCTGAGACCTCCCTGGCAGGCCACCCTCAGCAAGGACAAGGAAGGGCAGCTCCCTTACCTCCTGTCTGTCCTTCCTGACACCAGCTTCTCAGCCGTAGTCGGGACGGGTGGGTTAACACTGTTGCTCAGCCCCTGGTGGGTAACCTACA